TGGTATGCTAAGAGCAATTCATTTGAGTTAGTGGGATACTCAGATTCTGACTTTGCCGGATGCAAAGTTGACCGGAAAAGTACATCTGGTACTTGTCAATTCATTGGTGGAAATCTTGTTTCTTGGTTCAGTAAGAAACAAAACTCCATTTCTACATCAACAGCAGAAGCAGAGTACATTGCTGCTGGTAGTTGTTGTGCTCAGATTTTGTGGCTAAAGCAATAACTACTGGACTATGGAGTCAAGACAAAGGAAGTGACAATCTTTTGTGACAATCAAAGTGCTATAGCCATCTCTCAAAATCCAGTGCATCATTCTCGCACTAAGCACATTGATGTCAAGCATCACTACATCAGAGATCATGTGGAAAAGAAAGATATCAAAATTGAGTATATCTCAACTAAAGAACAACTGGCAGATATCTTCACAAAACCACTAAGTGAAGCCAAGTTTTCCGACTTACTTCACAAAATTGGTCTAATTCAATTAGACTGAGTGCGGTACACGTGGCGGACTACTTTCCACGTCTGTCAAAATATTGGGTAGGCACGTGGCCTTGGGAATAGTCAAAAACCCAATCGCCACCAGCCGCGCAAATCGCCCAAATAAAACCCAATCGCCACTATTCAGATCTCAACCGCCCACTCAAAGTTTTTCGTCATCTTCTTCGCGAGAAACTCTCAAGAACCCTAAGTTTTTTTCAAAATCTCACTCAAATTTCTGAGAAAATGAAGGTTGTCGGCGCAAATGTACATTTCCAGAAGTTAGAAGCCAAATGCTCTTCACCGGCGTTCTATCAAAATTATCTAGAGATGATAGCCGCTCAAGAACTCTCCGAATTTCTTCAAATGGAGATTCGCCTCAAGTATGAAGCTGAAGTTCTGGAATTCTTCAAAAATGGAGAGGTCAAGACTGCTCATTCAAAGAAGGACCCACAGAGGACGTTTCAAGTCATCAAATCCACTGTTGGAGGGAGAAAAGTGAAGCTTTCGCAGAAGAATTTGGGAGAAAGGCTTCACCTTCCCAATTCTGGAGTTGAAGTTGGGAGATTTCCAGTCAAAAATCTGGACTGGAACATCATTGGAATTTCTGGACAAGCTCCTTCTGGTCAAGCAAAGAAAGCAGATCTGAACAATGACTACAAATTAGTTTTGGAACTAATCATCGCTTGCCTCGAGTGTGGAAGTGGAGGTCATGCTGATGACATCACGCAGGAGAGAGCCTTCATCATCAACGCTCTCATTACCCAATCTAAGGTAAATTGGGCTGCACACTTCTTCAAATCTATCTCAAAACATCTGGGAAAACCCAATCAGAAGTACCTTTGTCAAGGTCTATACATTGGACATATTTTGGAGTCTATGGGTGCTGCTTCTAAAGGAAAGAAGTATGAAGAAAGATATTGGTTATACTATCTGTCTTCAAAAGGGGAAAACAGAGCTGGTGCTAGTGCTACTGCAGAGGAAAGCTCATCAGATAATGTCCCACTCATCAATCTGACGAAGACTGCCAAAAGGAAGCAAGTGATGTCTTCCTCTCTCAGTGTAGAAGCACCACAAAACCTTGTTCCAGAGAATCTTGAAGAAGCAGAAGAAGTCTCTGTCCAAGGAGAACTTAAAGGAAGAAGAAGAGGAAAATCACCTCTCCCTCAACATCCGGATATGTCAACCCGGATGAGTTGAAGGAGAAGGAACCTGCTGAGGAAACCTCTGCTCACAACCAGAGTCCTCAACAACTGGAAGAAGAAATCCCTCAAGTCCAAAGCCTTCCAACCTCATCACCTCAACCTCAAATGGATGATGCTGATAACCAATTCTAGAAGCTCTACTATGATTGGAGAGCTTGGAAAGTTGGAAATTCAGCAGAGCAATTGTTGGATTGGGACCAACAACTGAAGAATGAGAAGATCATCAAGAAGTGCTTAGGAATACCAGTCAACCACAGCTGTGAGCAAATCTTGGATGACTACTAGGTATGGTAAAGGAACCATGGAGACTTGCATCTGGAATACCTGGCCACCACACCAATTTCAGAATTTGAAGTGGATGTTGAAGATCCTGCTATCTACAAACCAGTCTTCGCAAAAACCACAGAAGATCAGGTGGTTCTCACTTCTGAAGCACAGGCTAACTTGGAAGCAACAGCTGAGGATTTCCAAATATTTCCGGAAACCTCATCTGCCTTTGAAACGGTTCTACCTGAAGCTGCAGTCTCTACTCCACAAGAACAGAACCAAGGAGCATCAGATGAAGAACTTCACCAACATCTCCAGTCTCAAGCTCTTGAGATTCTCACAACTGCTTGTGAGATATCCAACCAGCCTGAACTTGAGATCCCGGAGAAGTCAGGAAAAAATCTGGATCAGTCAACTTTTCCAGAAACAAATGAAGAGGAGCAAGCTGTAGAAGCCCAGAGGAGTTCTGCAGAAGCTGAGAAGGAAACTCAAATGGCAGAACTGGAGGCCTATAAATCTCCAGTAGCCATTTTTGAAGAACAGAATGAAGCTGAAGAAAGAGACTCCCTCTCTAGATATATATCAAATTGTGCGCTTGATGAAGCAGAAGGAGAGTCTGAGAGCACACTAAAGGTTGCTGATGAAGAAGATGTGCAAGAAGATGCTGAATCTCTTCCTATGCAACTGTTTCAAAGAACACCCTCTTCTCATCAGGTAACCAACTTTCATTTCCATAGCTCTTTCACTCCTACACTTCCGGATGAAGTACCGGAAATCTAGACAAAGAAGGTCCAAGGGCTGATTGAATCAGCCCTAGCATCTCAACATGCCTCCTTTAGGAAAGAGATAGAGCAGATGGAAGCCAGGCACAACAAGCTGATTGAGAAATCTGAAGAGAGACACAGCTCAGATCTCAAGGAGATAAGCAAGTCAGTGCACAAGACTCTAGAGATCATTTCTCTATTGAGCAACACTGTGAGCAACACGATGGAGACATATGCATCTGACAGCTATCTTCAACTCAAGGATGTTAACAAGATCAAAGAGCAAATAGCAAATATCACCGTCAGCCTACAGAAACAAATGTCTCTTCTCCAAATGGACATAAGATCAGCTCTGGCAGTGTCTTCAGCGAATCAGGTAGTAACAAAGGACTACTTGTAGGTGATCATTGACAATCAGAAGGAAGCATTCAAACTGTTCAGACTTCTTACCACAAATTCTGGAAATCGCAAGATGGAAGTGGTTCTTCAACAACACAGTCCATCCTTGATTCCAGAGCTCCCTATTGCAGTCAAAGAAGGAGAAGTCTCTTATATTCCTACGCATCTGAACATGACTGACCTGATTCTCAAAGCTCAGAGAAAGAATCCGGAAGACTCAACACAGCACCCATCCAGCTCAGGATTGGATGGAACAGAGGCTGTAGGAACAATTGCTGCTCACTTCTCAAATGATAACCAAACATAGGAGAGACGCAACAACATAAGGCGCATCAAAGAACTCTGTGGAAATATGCAAGGCATCGGTGAGCTTGCCGGATCTTCAAAGCGCAAGAAGCACTGAAGGCTTTTTTCATCAAACCAGGGGGAAAGTATGTGAAAACACTAATTTGCTTTGATGAAAACACCTTCCTGTTTAAACATTGCTTAATTGGTTTAAACATTGCTTCAATATTTCTCTTAATTGTGCTTATTATGCTTGATTATGCCTATTTCAAATATAATTTTGAGATTTATTCCTAGCGCATACATTCAGGGGGAATGTAATTCAGGGGGAACTTAACTAGTTTTTGGCTAACCATTGTTTTGGCAATGAATTATTGATGAGCTCTAAGCAATGGAAGACGGATATCTCAGTTTTAGTACTAAAGTTGGAAATCTCCGATTCAGGTACTTTACAAAATCTGCCTTCTTAAACTAAGCTTTAGTCCTTAATTCATTTCCAACAAGCTCTAAAAGTACTGGTCCTTAGGATTTTGAAAATGTATAGGACTTTGGAAAAATAGTACCACTTTTCTTTTAAAAATTAATTTCATATTCTTTTTGGTACTACCTCGTCCTAATTAGAAATTAGAACTATAGGGAATGAAAAATGATAGCTTTATTTTGGGCCTTGAAAACCCAATAGGAATAATTTCCCTTTAGTACATAGATTTTTTGTTTTGGGCCACTCTTTTGGGCTTAGCCAAACTAAAACAGTTACCTTTCTCAAACCAAACGAAACTGATTTTCTAATTGGAACAGTTTCAATTCCTTGGTAACTGGTAAAAGATTCTTTCAACTTTTCAGAATTCAACTCCTTGGAAGTTGAAACTCTTTTACTCTCACCGTTTCAACTACCCACTTAATGGAACCCGTGAACCTCCCCTCTCTCTACCTCCTCTCCTATTTAAATCAAGACATTCCAATCCATTCCTATCACAAACAACTCTTTCCACATGAAAAGTCTTCAACTCACTGTCTGAGAAAAACACCAAGAAAAATATCCTCAATGGAGAAATTTCTCTTTCTCACCCTCATAGACGGCAATGGAGGAAGCCTAATGAGAAGAAAAGACTTTCAAGGTCTATGGTGAGAATCTCGGCAGTAGAGAAGGTCTGTGGTGAAAATCTCGTATTTTTCAGGATTACACCATACACCTTCTGTGGAACAAAACTCTCTCTATTTTTTTCTTTTTATTTTTACCTTGATCTCTTTCCCTTCCCTCTCTTTCTTTTTCTGGACTTATTTTAAAACTCTTTTTCAAAATCTCTTTTAAATTTTTTTTTTGTTTCCTTCATCTTTAGAACCCTTATTTTATCTTTTTCACAATCAATTCTCTTTTCCAAAACCTTTTCTTTCTTGTCTTTCTACCTTTTCTTTTGTTTTCTTCTTTCGTTTTTTGTTCTTGCTTTTTTTGAGAGATGTGTTGCTTCCAAGATCTTGAATATCCACTCTGGATATTAAAGATCTATCAAACGCAACGCCAACCGCTCTGCCAAGCAAGTTCTGCTGAAGCTGAAAACGGTCAATGGCGGAAGAAAATATCACAAAATCTCAAGACAAGACTTGGTTTAGGAATTATTGTAAGTTGAATTGTATTAGTTTCAGAGTTTTTGTTAACAAGCTGTATACTATGAGAAACTAAAAGAAAGTTATAAAATTAGTTCTCAGTACAGCGACCGGAACTCTTAAACACTTGTTTGTCATCATCAAAAAGGGGGAAATTGTTGGGAAAAATTATAGATTTTGATGATGATGTATTTAGAATGTAATAGGGACTTTAGGTCTCCCCCAATATTCAATGTAATTTTTCTTTTAAGAAATATTGTTAAAACCGAGTTCTTGATATTTCCAATAAAGTTGTGATATTTCTTTAAGCGGTTTGATGCCTGAAGACTTAATCAAATTCTGTGATATGGAAATTGGATATCTTGATCGGAAATGTCAGAGACAAGTAAGGATTTCTCAAAGCAGATGAAAATCCTCCAATCCGGAAGACTACATGATAGCCGGATGTCTCGCTACTACCCGCTGAAGGCTAAGTCATCCGAGTCGGAAGACTAGCGCGGATCTCTTTCTCACCCGGAAGATGAGAATGACTTTTCCGGATTTGTCAGCTAAGAACCGGATGCCTCAAGAAAAAGACCGGAATTCTCAAAAAGCGGACAAGTGAGAAAAGACTTAGAAAATTGTCTAAGTCTTGAATGAAGAAATTCTACCCGTTGGTAAGGAAAAATCAATCTCTTGATTTTCAACGGCTAGATTGAAAATAATTATGCTGATTCAAGAACAAATGACTCAAAGACAAAGTCTGGACCTCTAAAAATTGAAGAGCCTGTCCAGAATTCCTAAACAAGCACTAGAAGACAAACAGAGTAAAGTGCTACAGTCCAGAATTCTTGAACAACAGCTAGAAGACGGAATCTGTGGAAAAAGGAATCCCTCCTCAAACAATTGGGTATGTCCAAACACCCATTCCAATGAGGAATCTTCAAATCACAATCTTCATTCAAAATTGAAGCCAGCAAATGCAACGGATAGTCTATTATGATTCAACGGATAGATTATCCAATCCAGCTATAAATAGCACCCTTGGAAGACTGGAGAAGACATGAATATGAATGAACAACAAAGCAATCTCTAACAACAAAGCTATCTCATTCACAATTAGCCCAAAAAGCTTGATAAAGAGAGATTTCTAAACTCCTTATCCAGAAGCAAACTTCTCCTCCTTCCAAAGAGCTATAGTGAAAACACTTGAAGGTTTCCTTGCCTCAAGTACCACACCACGTTGAAGGATACAACTTTTGATCAAACTTATTGATTAAAAGGGGGTAGGTCAACTTTCTTACAAGTTGATCTTAAAAGTCCTATTGTTCGGACCTTGCAGTTGTTGAAGAAGCGTGACCTTTGAAGGAACAACAAAAGCCAGCACGAGTGTAGTAGCAACATTGGCCTTGCAAAGATATACCGTGCAGAAATTCACACAAGTGTAATTGTTGGTTCATTATTCAACAACCAACTACATAGTGGATTTTGAGGACGTAGAAGGATTACCCCACCTTCGAACCTCGTTAAAGTTTGCGTGTCTCTCTCTTTTATCTTTATTCTTACTTGCAATTATATTAACTGTGAAAACTAACCCATCCATATTGATTACTGCTCACTCTACCCACCAAATTCCGCACACAANTACCGTGCAGAAATTCACACAAGTGTAATTGTTGGTTCATTATTCAACAACCAACTACATAGTGGATTTTGAGGACGTAGAAGGATTACCCCACCTTCGAACCTCGTTAAAGTTTGCGTGTCTCTCTCTTTTATCTTTATTCTTACTTGCAATTATATTAACTGTGAAAACTAACCCATCCATATTGATTACTGCTCACTCTACCCACCAAATTCCGCACACAATCTAAACATCACAAGAACTCTAGATTAACACTCATTTTCACGTTTTCAAAAGAAACGAAAAAGTTTTAAATTTATAACAAAGTCTATTCACCCCCCCCTCTAGACTTTGTATCTCACCACTTTGGGACCACCACTTTTTCTTCCCCCTTTTGACATTAACAAAAAGATAAAAAATAGTTTTATTTATTAAAGGGAAAAGGCAGAGTACAACGGAAGCAATAAAAAACATGATAATTTAAAGAAAAGATATAGAAAATCTAGGGGAGTCCTAGGCTTCGTCTTCGGTTTCGTCCTCGTCGTCGTCGACGTCCATCTCATCCCCATCGATGGCATCGTCGAACTCGTCTTCATCCGGGGAGCTTGACGGGGCATAGGAGGCATCGTCTTCGTCCTCATCACCGTACACTTGCCCAAAGAACGTGCCATGGTACGGTGGGGGAACGTAGTTAACGCGTTGGAAGTACGCGTTCATGGCGTACCCTTGGCGTTGAACAGCCTCGTCAAGCCTCTCAAGGTAGCCATCCATCCCGTCAACTTTGAAGTGAAGGCGGTTTAGGGAGTCGGTGATGGAGGCGAGGTTGGCCCGGGCCTGGGGTTCGGCTGGGCCAGCGGCAGTGGCAGTGCGGCGTGGCGCAGCAGTGGCAGGCACGGCGTTGTCCGACCGCTTTGTGAAGGTTTGGCCGCTGATCGTCCAAAGCTTCGTGGCCTTCGTGAGCGGGCCAACGGTGGTGGTTACCTTGAACCGTTCAAGGTTGTCCATCACCACGAATGGGTACGGAAGGAGATGGTCATGGTCGGTGGACGCGACAATCGTCATGTTGATCATGACAAACTTTGCCCAATTAATTGGGGCCGAGTGCATCATCGCATGGATGAGCTTGAGGTCCTCACCAGACATGATTGTGTGGCTGTGCTTCCGGGGTTTGATGATCCGGGACACGATGTAGAGAACGAGACGGCCTTTAGGGTTAGCGGAGTGGATGGTGGGGCGGCCCGAGGCATGGCAGATGAGCTCGGTGATGCCAAGCTCATTGAGGATGTTGCCCTCGTTGTTGAGCACCCAGTCTTCTCCGCCATAGTGGGAGACGTCTTCGCCTTGGAAGGGGAGGCTGGCGATGCGCCCAAGCTGCTCCACGGTGAGCTCGATCGGCGTGGACTTGACAAGGCTGTAGATGACGTCATCCTCACGCCGGAGGTTGGAGTAGAAGGCCTGGATCAGCGTCGGTTTGATCTCCTTGCGAGATCGGGAGACGAACTGCCAGAGGCCGGCTTGATGAAGCTGCACGTCTAGGTCGTCGTAGCCCTGCAGCTCCGGGTAGCGCTCCGGGATGTTCCGTGGGGGAGCCACAACCCGTTTAGAGAAGAAGGTGAGAAATCGGGTGCGCTTCTCCTTGGAATCGAACCAGAGGTACGACCCGTCACCGTAGTAGAGGCGTTCCTCGGTAGATGTCGTAGGCGCCCGAGATTTGGAGTTTGATTTCCCGGAGGTGGCAGCCCTGCTCTTGTCTTTGCCCATAGTGGAGAAATCTAAAAAAAATTGTAAAAGAGAAGAAATATGCAAGAGGAAGGGAGAGAATTGTGTTTGTTTGTGTAAAGAATGAAGAGAGGGGGTCCCAATTTATAGAAAAAGTGGTCTCCAACATCCATATTTTCAAAAATATGACTGTTGGAGCACTTAATGCTGGTGCCAACGGATATTTTTTTTGAAAAATTTGACCAGAACAGCGATGTTCTACAGGGGACATCGCTGTTGGGACAGCGCTGTTGTGTCTTGTACAGCGATGTTCTGCGTCAAGGTTTAAAAAACAGGAATCAAACGGACAGCGATGCTGGGTACC